ATCGGTAAGGACATGCAGGGGCCTTCTCTCATAACACACACAGCTGCATCTACTTTTTCTCTTACTCTCCGTTGCTGTCTCTTCTCCGGTCAACTGACCCCTTTGTTCGAGCAGCCACATTAAAGCTCTGTCTGCCTCTTTTCTCTCTCACTTTTCTCTTATGTCATGTCTCTGCTCCCTTCAGATCTATTGTCCCGACTGTTGTTGAGCTCTCCCCCTCTCTTTCTCTCTCTGGATGGGTGACATCATTAGTTTCCAGTAAAGTCCTGCAGACTGAGACCCCCTCCTCCTCCACACTCTACATTACACACAGCTGAACCTGCAAACCTAACCAAAGACATACTTGCTCAGAGTTTCATTAACACCAAATGGACTAAATCATATTTATGTACAGAGATGTTCAGGCTATAAGCAATTGTTTTTCTTACAACAGCCCCCATATGGTGTTAGTTAATAATAATAATAATAATAATAACAATAATCCTCTCTGGAACTATGATGACTCAGATGGTATGCTGGTTAGTTAATGTACTTTCAGGTGTCTCCACATTTAGAAGAGTTATCAGACGATAAATCAGACGAGTCCCTGCAAACACACACACAACCCCCGCCCTTAATGGGGCCCAAGCCCTGTACCCCTCCCCAGATCTAAGCCCTGCTAAGCCTTGAATGAATCGGTCTGGACTGGCTCGGTTGTCTGTCTGACCTCCTGCTAATGAGAGATGGACCATCTGTTGCCCAACAGATACACGCAACCCTAAATTTGTCACATATGCAACAAAAACAGCACACAGCACCAATAAAGCCGGTAACACTGGTGACAAAACAACTCGAAATCACACCAGAAAACTACACAGCAGAGCCCAACTTCATCACATCAGTATGTGCAAAATCACACTTTAACCATCAGGCTGTTAGTAGGCTACTTTATATACATAAATAAATACTTAACTTCCTAACATTTGATTCATGTCTCCAGTTCTAATTCTGGGGGATGTTATGCACTATCTGCAGTGCTGTTGGTGTTAAATCGAATTGTGAGGCATGTGCATTGTAGGAAATGAAACTGCGTATGAGATGCACACAACAACACACTGAGCTGCTGCTGCAAAAAAAGAGGCAGTAGCTGTATTGTAGCACAAAAACAGGAACAGCTGTTGCCATAGCATGGACCAAAATATAAGATATTTACTAAAAAAAAAATGTACACATTAGACCCTGTGTAAAGATGTACTATATAAATATACTATATAAATAAAGGATGGAGGATGAAGTGAGTGTATTTCTTTTTTAACATATGAGTTATTATAGTTGGTAATCTGCTGTCATACAGAGTGTGTTAGTACTGACTATTCATATTAGTAACTGTCGTGCGGACACCAGCAGCCTCCAGCTTCACACAATAATGCCATACACACTCACATACTCACTCTCTCTCTCTCTCATACACACACATACACACGCACACACACGCATGCTAATACACACATCACAATGTTAGCTTGATCCTAGTCACGGGTCCTGGCTAATACTGCGAGCCCTGACTGAGCGGGAAAAGGAGTGGAGGATTTTAGTGTTTGTGTGTTTTTGGTGGGGTCACCTTACCATGCACACACACAGTCACAGAGCTGCCACACCAGAAACAAACCAAATCAAAGACGGTGCTGCTGCACATATTGCTTTCTGCCTCCTACCGACCCGCCCCTAAACACACACCGCTAGAAAAACACACACCCATCTCCGTATGGTGCGATGAGTTTCTGCCCCAGTTGAGCAAGCTGCTCCTGTGGTGTTGTTTCCTGGGATGGACGCGCGGGTGACAGGGACAATGCCCGCAATATTGACTTTTCACACCAGTCCTATTATGTGACCTAATTAGGCCCAAGATCACAATACAAACCTCTACAGGGCTTCAGGCAACTAGACAACTTGACACAGGGGGGTCACCCAAGTGTGCAGACACCATCTGAAGTGGTGGACTAAATGAAAACTGAATGGGACCTGGATTTTAAAGAAAAGAGAAGTCTGGTAGTTTGTGAATTGTGCAATTTGAGACAATAGAAAGGACCGAATTGATGAGACTGATGTACATTACTGCCCCTCCTCTTGTGTCTTGTATTGTCAGTGCTTACTGGGTTAATCAAAAAACCCATTCCTTTCCTGGATGGTGCTCCTCCAGCTCCATATATAAACTTTCATAAATGTTATAGAATTGTACTACTGAAACCCATACAGTTATATATTAATTTGAAGGTGAATGAAACAGGTAAAAAGCTGAAGAACTAGTCTAAGCCGGATGAGTGAATCACGGACAGTCATCAAAAACACAAGAAAGAATCAAAACTGTAGGAATGGAAACGTCACGTCTGACACGTGCACTTCTCTGTTCAAAACGGCAAGAAAGAGGAAATAAGAGTGCTAACTCAGCTTTCTTACTTTTTTTCAATGGAAACACATCATCATCGAAATTGTCCCCCCTCTTCCTGTGACACTGTTTTCCCTGTAGAAAATCACTTCTGCATTTTGAGCGAATGACCCGCTGAGGTTATTGAACTACCCTGCTGGTTATTGTAACCCAATGTGAGGCAGCGGCTAATATTCCCTCTGCTGGAGTTTTTAATTGATCAGCCTGCAGCTTAATTACAATGCCCTATCACTGACAGAGAGAGAAGAGTATGAAAGGACACTGCAGACTTCAAAAATGAAGTTAAATGGATAACCCACTGTGATGTGTGTAGTTGTCAACACTCTCGCTTCGGAGCAACTGGGTTCAAACTTAGTCAAGTCCTTTGTTATTCCTTCTCGTGACACATCTTGCAGCATACGGAATAATTCAATTTAAAAGAAGCATTTTCATTATCTAAGTTTATTCTTTGTGATTTACTATTATTAATTTTAGCTACTCCATCGCCATGTCAATCTCCGCGTCCCTCCACTCTTGTGAACAATCTTATGTGTGTTCATGTGGGAGTCTCATTGTCCTCAGTGGACTGCTGATAACAACTGACACCTCAGCACTCCTCCCTTGTCTCTGACATGAACTGTGGACCTGACAGCTGTCCATAAGCACACAGCAGGGCGATTACAGGGAGGCAATCAGTCCAATCATCGCCTTTATGACTGGCATGGTTTCATAACCTCATGCAGGTAGGGGAAAAGCTAACTGAAAGGCGAGTGAGGAACGCCTTAGAGCAGCATGGACAATATAAATTGTGGCGAGGTGGTGCAATGATTGCTTTCTATCACAAGAATGGATGTACTTGTTTGAGGTCTTTTGTGCTTTTTTTGTCACAAAACCTCGGTTTGGGAAGCAGCTGCAAAACCAAATAGTTGAAACTAATTTCACTTGAAGTTCCATGATTACCCCACTGATGGTTTTGTGTTTTCTTTCATAACTTTATTGAAGGTATTCATCCCTCTATATAATCACCCTTACTGCCCTCTGTCCCAGCTGTGAGGGCAATCACTACTCAATTCACAAGGATGAGTTTCAGGACACACAGAGCGGTGCATGTAAGCTTAGCCTTGCTTTGGCTACAGCATTCAGAGAGTGTCAGCATCTGCAAGCTAACCTCCATCTTTTGTACCCCTGGAAACAATTGGCGGAAACAGTGCTGTGAGATGGGAGGACATGAGTGCCAGGATGTCAGATAGGCAGCGAGAAGGATGATCTCCCAATACTTGGACTCAAAACATGCATCGTACCGTGGCGTGATAGTCATCTGATAGTCAGATTTACACAGATGAACTATTACCGTACATGAGGTTATACTGAATTCATCCCAGTTGGAAAATGTTCTTTTTGCTGTTGCAAAATAACAGTACTGGAGCAGGTGGGGTTGAGTATCTTGCTCAAGGACACTAAATCTTAATGCGCCACTTGTGCCAAAAATATTATCACCTTAGCCTCAATACCTCACGTGCACACATGCAAACAATTAGCCACAACTAAGCTGGAATAAGCCGTCACTGCATGTTGTTTTTCTGGTAATCGCACTGTTATGATAAATCTGTGATGATGAAAAAAAAAAGGGCCAATAAACAGAAAGGCATGCACGTTAACATGAAGTGTAATGTGACCAACATTTCTGCCATGCTCTTTATTTGGCATCATACATCAAAGTCATTTTGGCATTTGGCTTCTTAAGTAAAGTGAGTAATGCCTCGGCTGTGAAGTCAGCAAAACTGTGCTCACACACGCACGCACACACACACAGTGACCAATAAGCGGTAGTTACAGTAATTACTGCTTTTCACAAGAGGTCAGCTGTCCTCCAGCTGTGCCACCAAAGGTTACTGTCTAGTTTGCATTATTGCATTATGAGTTTGAATTTGAATGACAAACCAATCCCGGAGTTGAGCAAGTGAATGTTTTTTGATTTGGTTTCAAAATGACCCTCACTTACTGTACATTACACTGGTGGATTATGTAGGAAGAGGATGTGTCACTACCAGTTATGTGACCACCAGTCGGGCCAGAACTGCTGAGTCCAGAGCAGCGACAGACTTGCAGTCTGTGTCAACTGTAGACAAATACCTTTCTCTCTCTCAAGCACACTCATAAGAACATGCGATATCACTCTTCATAGTTTTCTTTTCCTATCGCTCTGCCCTGTCTCTCACAATCACCACAGACATCCAACAAACAGACCTTGGAGGAGTCACAAACCAACCTGCCCCTCGCTACATATCTTCTGTTTATAATTCCACACTTCTTTTCTCAGTGAATTGTTTTTCATCTTAATCTTATTCCCTTTTACTATCCCCAAACACGTTCCACTTCACTTCCCATTCCCATCCTTGAATCTATCAAAACTGACTGAACCTTTGACACCAAACAATGCCGCAACCCCTCACACACACTCCAAACAACAGAAGGCACAGGAAGGTCATTAACGCAGAGGCCAACATCTGTTTTTTTTAACAAGACTGGAAGAAGTAAATAAAGAAATAAAAACAGATTTCAACAAACAACAGCCATTATTCTGCCATGTACTGACCCAGTGGCGCGGGCTGCTCTCTGGGGAGCGAGGCTGGTACCTCTGCAGGGCGACCCCGCCTTCTCCCTCCAGCAGCAAGGTGCAGTCCAGGTCTGGACAGTGGTGGTTGGGACCTGCGGGCCAGGGCAGCAGGGTGGCTAGAGGGTAGTGAGAGATCATGCTGACCGCCTGGATCAGCGGCAGGGTTGACAGGGCATACTCCAGTATGGACGGCAGAGTGGATGGAGACTTCTTCAGTGGAAGCAGTAGAAATCTGGAGCGGGGACCTTTAAGTGTTGACAATCAAGATGAAGAGGATTTGACTCTTGATTTAGGATCAACTTCTTTAGGTCAGATATTTTGTTCACCTCCCCTTCTGCTCATCAATCTGGTTGTATACTGGACAGGACTTCAGCTCCAAGGTGGGACTAATGAAAACTCTCCTCTCAAGTTGTCCCCCTCTATCTTCTACCTTCCTTTTTCTCTCCTTTTTCCCCCAACACAGTTTCTACCTTAGCCTCTTCTGTTTGTGTTTTTTTGCCTTCTCTCTGCACGCGTGGAGCTTGGCTTGCCAACAGCTCTCAACCACATGAGTGATTAAAGTCTATTGTTTCTCCCTCCTTCTCTCTCCCCTACATTCATCCAGGGGGAGGAGCCGTCACTTGGTGGCCCGGCCCCCCCAACCACCACTGACTAAAGAGACTTTGACTGTGGAAGAATCTAAAGAAAAGTAAAGAAAGACAGGAAAGCTGAGATAGAGAGGAGGATGTTACGGAAGAGGTTCTAAGAATTATTAACAATAGCGGATGTTTTCCATGATGGATGACTTTTGACCTCATTTACGTCCTGCTGAATCCCAAACTGCACTCATTAAAGCTTCAAAAAGATTTCAGATTTTATTATCATTGTTCTGAGGTATTGCCATTCCTGGATTTTACCATGATTTTTCCCAAAAGCCATTTCATATAAAACATGATACACATTTCTTGCATTAAAGTTCAGGTGTTTAGATGTGCGGATAGCATCATAAAGTTACTGATTCAGGTCTCTGTTAAGAAGCACAGCTTGGTGACATTTGAAAGCAGGGCAAAGGTCAAATCATAATAAATGTGTAACAATTATGGAGAGCATGAGTGTGTGTGTGTGTGTGTGTGTGTGTGTGTGTGTGTGTGTGTGTGTGTGTGTGTGTGTGTGTGTGTGTGTGTGTGTGTGATCGAGTTCAGGGTAGGAATAAGAAACAGTCATGTGTAAAACAATGCTGTTGCTGAGAAGAGGATTATCTAGGACCAGGCAGTGCTCCGACACACACGCATAAGCACACACTGCTGACGTAGATTCAGAAGTTAATGTTGTACAAAAGATGAAGAAAGTTGCTTCCTACAGTTAGAAGCTGCAGTGTCTGACTTCAGGTCCTGGTTTCTCAGGTAAATAAACAGCCACTGAAAAAGAGCCCCAATGTCAGAGAAACATCTGGAGAAGGTGCTTCATGGCAGAGGAACGTGACTCCACACACACAAATGCAAACATCAGTGGTGGAAATTAATGTACTTCAGTAGAATTTTGATGTACTTCACTTAAGTATTTCTATTTTATGCTACTTTATATTTCTACTCCGCTACATTTGACTGGTGGCCCCTTACAAAAATACAGTCTATAAGAGGCCCCTTGTCACATTTCATATGTTAACTGTTTCACTAAAGAAACAATTCCCTCTAAACTTCTCAGATGGTTTTATTTAAATTTATATAGAAAAAAAAACAATATTCCACAACCTAAAGGTATCTGTGTCGCACATTCTATGTTTTGTAGAATTTACTTTTAATACTTAGAAATACATTTTACTGATAATACCTCTGTAGTTTTAGTCACGGATGATTTTAAATGCAAGATTTGTAATGGTGTATTTATACATTGTGTTATTGGTCCTTCAAAAAAAAGCATCTACCACCCCCACTACAACAATACTTTTTCCTCCACTGGAAAACATCAGTGGAGTCCTCTTTCAGTCGCCGACAGTACCGAAGAGAAAAAAGTAGCCTCTCCTGAGACTTGAGCAATGTCACGGCCATGATTCAGACCTTCACTCTGACTCAGCTTGACAAAACTCCTTTGGATCCTCAACAGACAAAAATGCAATGAGACTCCACCTAAAGTATGTTTATATTTAGTCCCTGACTCATGGTTGGAACTATGGATTTAAAAAAAAAAAAAAAAGGCAGGCAAATCAAGCTCAGCTCAAGTGTCTGTGTGATTTGACCATGATTCTCAGTGACTCCATGTGCCTGTGTGATTGCTGGGAATAAATGGGAGCATGATGGGCAGGAAGAGTCAGTAAACATGCTGCCTTGTCTTCTTGCTGTCTGGAGTAACTTCCAGAGAACTGCCCCCCCCATTTCCTCTCTCTGTTTTTGAGGGCTGTACTCCTTTTCTAAAAGGCCTGCAATCACTTCGCTTTTGCCCAGCAACAGTCTTCACTGGTTCACTGAAGCCTGACACGTTGCCAAAGCAGTTTTAATAGTGATGTATTTGAGGGATTAACAAAGAAACTGTCAGGACATTATGTTATCAACACTGTTACATTCTTCTCCTTTATTCTTTATTTTCTGTTAACTGCACTTACACTCACACATTGGTTTTTCCATTCCAGTATCACTTGTTTTCATTGTTCATTAAACTCCTCAGTGTTCCCTTCACTTTTCTTGCATTTCTTCTCTGCCTGCTTCTGAGTGTGCTGACACAGTCGCGCTGTGGCCAGCACCAGTTTACACAGCTGGGAAGCCAAAGCTCTCTAAACTCTGACAACACACTTTTTATACACACAACACACTAGAGATCCTCTCAGACTGGGTGAATACAAACAAAATCTCTCTCTCTCTCTTTTACTCTCTCTTACTCTCATTTTCTCCCTCAAACAGTCCCATCAGTGTAACACAAAAGGAGACATCTCTATTGAACACAATAGTAAATCCTGTAGGACTGAGTAGAATCTTGTGCTGATATATGAGATTAAACAAAACACGGGAAGACGGATTCAGACCCTTTAAAAGTAAAAGTAGCAAGACCACATTGGAAAGAAATGGATTATAAGAAATTATATATATATATATATATATATTATATATATTATATTATATATATATATATAATTGATTATTCTTACTAATCCAGGATAGTGTCAGTGGCTTTTTAATGTTGTAACTGGTTGAGGTGGAGCTAATTCGAACTACTTAATATACTGGTGGCTCATTTAATTAATAAAATGCATCGTATTTTAGAAGCTGATCCTATGTTGATGTAAGAAAATTTTCTAAATATGCTGACACATCATCACACACGCAGTGGTTGAGCTGTGTCACTTCACACTTTCACAACTCCACACTGCCCCCTGCTGGTTAACATCGGAACACAACAAACACAATGAACTCAAAGACGTGTTTCCTGCTCTTTTTCCTCTTGCTTAATCCTTGTCAGTGATTATTTCAGGAGGATTAGCATGAAGTACACGCAAATCACATCATATTAATAGACTGCTTATATTAAGATATTTCCTGTCTTTCCATTGGCTGTGAGTATTGCTGCTATAGTGCTGCTAGGGGCCTTTCCTGCACTGACATACAGCAATCCTTTGCCTCATGCGCGCGCACACTTAATCACTCATTGAGAAGTCTGAGGAGCTCATGTTGACACTGAACAGTTACTCATTATCAGTATGAGGGGGGAAAAAGGAGACAATATCTCTGGATCACTGACAGAGAGAATGGAAATACAAGAGAGGAGAATGAAGCAGAGGCACTGTGCGTGTTAAAAGAACAATATTTTCATTTTCCATTTCCTTCTCTTTTTTGCATGTGTATGTGTGCGGGTGTGTGCATGTGTGGATTATACGCAAGTGAATGTGCGTATGTGTGAGCCCATTCTCTGTCAAAAGGACACGGCCTTACAACATCCCTGTTAGTCACCAGCCGCTTCCCTGCTCAGCACAGCATCACTGAGTCATTTCACCCACTTATGCAACAATATCCCTTTGTTATATAAATCATCAAATATTGCAAGTTACACTAACAAATCACCTGCTGTTCCCTTTAATAGCAATGAATCCTTCATTTACATGTACTATCTGTGTATCGCACTGATAGGGTTATCAGTTAAACAAGCAAAATTATAAAAAGTTACATTTCCAGATGATTTTTTATGTATTATCCTACAAAAATGTTCCTCTATTCTTGTTGAATTTCAACTTCTTCTTGAAGTTCAGGCCTCTAAAAATTATTCAAATAAAGCAGGGGAAAGAACTGGTAACACATAACACACAGGCGTACGCAACCAGCAATGATGTATCTCAAGTATACAGTGGACACAAGTCAAAAAATTTAAGTGCATATCAGAATAATAAAATGAAATAGCGCTCATTCTTATGTGTTGTCTCTGTGTGCAGACTGAGGTCTGCTCCAGGCATTCGGCCTAAAGGCAGAGTTGGGTTTCCTGAAGGTTGAAGTGTGTCGCTAGTCCAGTTCATGGTGATGGCTCTGAGAGGACTGGTGACATGTAAAGTTGTCTGCTGACTGTGAAGTCTGTGAGTAAGACCGTCGGTCTTCGACAAGTGGAGTGACAGCAAGCCCTTTGACTGTTTTCCCTCTTTCCTGCTAGTCGTGACACTGGCTGTTTCCCCCTTTTTTTAAATAGTTGAGCATCACCAACTCTTTCCTGTGATGTGATATTTAGCTCCTTGCTGAGACTGCAGCGGGTGTTACAAATCACTCGGTCATAGTGTTTCTCTCTCATGTACATAGTATATCTCCAGAAATACTGCATAATACGAAAGGTTTAAAAATTTGTTAGTTATGCACTAATGCAGTTTGATTTGAAGTCTGCACTGCAATAACATGAGCTGTAGCTAGTAAATGCAGACGCGATGTGCAGTGTGATGGTTTCCAAACACATTGATTTTCATACAATATGGGAAGGAGTTGACTGGAAGGTAAACACCCATCTAAAACACGACAGCATGTTTCAGAAATGGCATCTGTCTGTATTTGTTGGTGTGTGTGTGTGTGTGTGTGTGTGTGTGTGTGTGTGTGCTGATGAGATAGGAGCCAGAAGAGAAGAGAATGAGCAATCAGTGAGCAAAAGCATAGTCTTGATCTGATGAATATTTCAGATGCTACCCCAGTAAACTAAAAGCTGTGCTCGCGCTCTGCTGTTTCTATTCTACAGGACACACACACACAGATACATACACATAATCATATTCACATACACACAATATCGTAGAAACATAAAAGCATGCAGACATGAGTATTCACACTCACACAAACACACACACAAATTATGACACTCAGTGTTAGTTCCTCTCCAACTCCCAAGGCTCATTATTAATAAAGTGTGGATCAGTATTTCACAGCAGCCCTGTTGCAAACTTACAGTAAACACACACACTTTCAGCCAACATCCGGTCAAGTGAAGTTTTTTTGTCATAATATAGTCTGAGAATTATGATTCGTATTTGATAAGGCAATATTTCTCTTACCTGAGTACAGGATCCTTCCATAAAAAGCAGACACTGCTCTGTACTGCAGCAGGAAAAAGGATGT